CTGAGGCAGGAGAATCGCTTGAACCCGGGAGGCAGAGGTTGCGGTGAGCCAAGATCGCACCACTGCACTCCAGCCTGGGCAACAAAAACAAAACTCTGTCTCAAAAATAAAAATAAAGGCTGAAAATTGTAGAGGAACTTATAAAGAATATGAACAAAGGTATCTATATATACATCTATCTATTCATTTCTGGAATAGCAAATGGTAGAGTGAGAAGCTCAGCAAATCATTTCCCTCAAAAGGAATAAAATGGACAATTAAAATACTTGAACCATTTAGGATTCTGGAAATTGACCAAAGGCATACAACAAAGTGAGAAGTATTTATCCAAGAAAAACTCCCGGACCAGGAAAGAACAGTGTGTCTGTGATGTTTTAGCCCAGAGCTGCTCTCATCCCCTTGCAGCTCCATCAGCATGGCAGCTCTGTCAGGGCAGGACAGGTTTGAGGGTTACCTGATTTGGAGTGGAATGCAGAAAAACTCCCGTGCTCCTAGGCATTGCTAGAAACAAAAGGAATCTCAGTAGCAAATGAATGAGAAAGGCCAATGCAGTTAGCCTAAGGTTTTTGTTCTGGTTGGGGCAAGCAAGAGATTGACAGACAAGCCAGAAACTTAACAGGGAGATTCACGGAATGAAACAGCCATAGTGTACTTGCAACACATCTCTGGTGGCATGGAAGGATGCATGCAAGAGCAAGGTTGAGCATAATTTAAGAGAAACCAGAGAAAGCCCTAGCTATCTCTGAACATTTCTGACTAAACGTGAGGCCTTAGACATAAGACCTTGAGTGAAGTAAAAGCTGGGAAGGCTTGTAAACTGCATAAATTTTGAATGTGTTCTCCAGTTTACACATGGATCCACTGGCAACACGTAGAAGCCCTTCCTAGTCAAATGTATTTGGGTACAACCTCTGACAAATCATTGGCTGACCACTAAACTATACTGACACAGGGTTGATCCTAGGAAGCCAGGCTTAAAAAATATAAACAAGATTTTAGAAATACAAAACTAAGCAAAGACATCAATGACTGTGCAACATGGGGAAAAGAGCCTCCAAAGAATTAGTCTACACCAATCACTAAACAAACAGAACATCAGCTGCAACAACTACCACCTCGCTGGGTCAGAGAGATCAGATCAGAACCCAGAGATCTATAATAATGTTATCTAAAATGTCCAGTTTTCAACAAAAAATTACAAGATATGCGAAGAAGCAGGAAATAGTGGCCCATTTTCAGGAAAAAGAAGTACCTTAACTCTACCCCACTAGATGCCAGAATCACCCCCTACCCCCAGTCATGACAACCAAAAATGTTTCCAGACATTGCCAAATGTCCCTGAAGGGAGGAAGGGCAAAGTCACCCTCTGGCTGAGAACTACTGCTCTAACGCTAGTTATCACATAGTGTGATACTGGGATAAGACATATATCAATGGAATAAAATTAAGAGTCCAGATATTAGTATCAGCTGACATTTCACAAAGGTGCCAAAGCAATTTCTAGGAAAGGGATAATCTTTTCAATAAATACTGAGATAACTGGATATTCATGCACAAAACATTGTTAGACCCTTCATATACATGAGGAATTAACTGAAAATGAATCACAGACCTAAATGTAATAGCTAAAACTATAAAACTTTTAGAAAAAAATTTAGGTCAACTCTCAGTGACTTTGGATTAGGAAAGGAAAGCATAATCCATAGAAGACAACATTGATAACACTTCAGTAAAATTAAATTTTTCTGCATGTCAAAGACATGAATAAAAAATTGAAGACAAACCACAATCTCAGAGAAAATAAATACAGAATATATAAAGAACTCTTACAACTCAGTAAGACAATTCAATTTTTAAAATGGGCAAAATTTTGGAATAGGCATTTTGCCAAAGACATGAACAGTTACTATCACAGATGGTTAACATCATTAGTCATTTGAGCAATGCAAATTAAAACCACAATGAGATACAACTTCACACTCGTTAAAATGGCTATAATTAAAAAGGCAGATAATAAAAAGACAATAACAAGTATTAGTGGAGATGTGGAGAAACTGGTACCCTTGCCGTCATACATTGCTAGTGAGAATGTAAAAACAGTACTATGGAAGACAGTGTGGTAATTTATTGAGAAGTTATATATAACTTTACCGTATGACTCAGAAATTCCACTCCTACGTATATACTTGAGAAATGAAGACATATATCCACCCAAAGACTTGTATGCAAATATTCTTAACAGTATCATTCATAATAACCAAAAACTGGAAACAACCCAAATGTCTATCAATTAGTGAATGGTTAAATATGGTACATCCATACAATGAAATTTGTTCAGCAGTAAAAAGGAGTAACTCTTGATAGTTGCTATAGCGTTGATAAACCTTAATTGCAAAACATTATGCTAGGTTAAAGAAGCCAGATGCAAAAGACTACATACTGTATGATTTCATTAATATGAAATGTCTAGTTAAAAGGCAGATCTACAGAGACAGAAAGCAGACCAGTGGTTACCAGTGGCTGGGATGGAAATGGAGATTGACTGTAAATCAATAAATGGGATCTTTGTGGACTGTGGGATAGTTGTAGTTTTATAAACTTACTAAAAAATCATTAAATCATACACTTAGAGTGGGAATATTTTATGTAAATCACATCTCAATAAAACATTTTTTAAAAAGTTAAACAAGGAAATTGCAAGAAATTTTCATATCCTTACCATATAAAGATAACTGCTATTAACTTTTTGTATATATTTTTGCTGTGTATCCAACAAAAAGTGACGTCTGCCATAGTTTTTAAACTGCTTGGTTCACATGCATTATCAATGTATTTGCATATTAAATTTTTTTATAACCACAACAAAAATACACGTCTTATTTCATAGAACCATGAAGGATAACACTGAAAGACTATCTTAAAGATCATCTAATGCCTTCATTTCATCCTCCCTTTTGGGTTTCAGTTTCCTTGTGCCTAAAATGAGAAGGTATAATTAGATGTTTTCTTGGCTCTTCACTGCCCTGTTTTAATTGCCCTTATTATTTTTTTTCTATTCCTTTAGAAATGATTACTCCAATCTGCTAACAAAAATACGTAAAAACAACTAAAGCTTTAAGCTAAATTTGGGCTGTCTGGATTTTTCTCATTTAATTATCCTAGAAATCCTGTATTATCCCTCTTTTAGAGGCAAGAAAATTGCGATTTAGTAGGGTTAAGAAATTTGTCTTAGAAAGTAGATTCAACCGGGCGCGGTGGCTCAAGACTGTAATCCCAGCACTTTGGGAGGCCGAGGCGGGCGGATCACGAGGTCAGGCGATTGAGACCTTCCTGGCTAACACGGTGAAACCCTGTCTCTACTAAAAATACAAAAAATTAGCCGGGCGAGGTGGCGAGCTCCTGTAGTTCTAGCTATTCAGGAGGCTGAGGCAGGAGAATGGCGTAAACCCGGGAGGCGGAGCTTGCAGTGAGCTGAGATCCGGCCACTGCACTCCAGCCTGGGCGACAGAGCGAGACTCCGTCTCAAAAAAAGAAAAAGAAAGTAGATTCAAGGTTACCAGGTGACATGGTTTGCTGTGTCCCCACCTGAATCTCATCTTGAACTGTAGCTCCCATAATTCCCATATGTTCTGGGAGGGATTTGGTGGGAGGTAATTGAATCATGGGGGTGGGCTTTTTCCCGTGCTGTTCTTGTGATAGTCTCATGAGCTCTGATGGTTTTATAAAGGGCAGTTCCCCTATACAAGCTCTCTTGCCTGCTGCCACTTAAGACATGCCTTTGCTCCTCCTTTGCCTTCTGCCATGTGAGGCCTCCCCACCCATGTGGAACTGTGAGTCCATTAAACTTCTTTTTCTTTATAAATTACCCATTCTCAAGTATGTCTTTATTAGCAATGTGAGAATGGACTAGGAGTTGGGGGAGGAAAGGGAGCACTGGGGAGTTATTGTTTAATGGTTACAGAGTTTCTGTTAGGAATGGTGAAAAATCTGGAAATAGGTAGTGGCAATATGTTGCACAACATTGCTAATGTAATTATTAATGACATCAAATTGTACACTTAAATGGTTAAAACAGTAAATTTTATGTTAGATATATTTTACCACAATAAAAATAGAATGAAATAAACTTGTTAGGTCAACCAAGAAGGGTGCAGGCTCACTCACTATCTGAACCATTCTGAGCACTATTTGCATAATGACAGTTCCTTTGCAATCCAATGAAATAAAGATCGGTATTTCAGTTATCTGGCAAACAAAGAGAAGTCCAGATTTTATCAAATTATAGTCACTTAGAGCTCCTTATTTTTTTATTTTTTTTCTGGTCCTGTTTTAGTTTTAGTTGTTCCGGAAAATGTAAGTCTGCAATTAATTTTGATACATCCACAATGTAATTTCTTAAGTTTAAAAATTTTATCAAGTTGAAATCCACTGTGCCAGGAAGAATTAAGAAATCAAGGATGTAAACTGGCTGTCATTTCAGAAGGTTTTTACCACTACCTTATTTGATGCTCCCTGGGTAAGGGGTTTTAAATATCCTGTGCTTTTACAGTATTGACAGACTAAACCACTATCTATAGTCCAGCTGATACTATTGCTCAAGCCTTTTGGGCCTATATTTGCCCAAGAATCACTTAAGAAAGGTCAGGTCAGATTTTAATGTGACAGAATGAGGTCCAGTGACTGAGGCAGTCTTTAAGCTTAATGATCTCAGAGGCTGGACTGGACTAGCTCTTAGAGATAACATTACAGTAATACTATAAGGTTGTCACATAAGTCTATGGTTTGTTTTCTCAAAATAGTTGGAATAAAATACGACTCTCTAAGCGAGTTCTTCATCTTTCTGTAACATCAAGAATGTAAAGATTAGCTGATCCAGAAGAAAGACTCTCTGAACGAGAGACTGAAGGCCACCAGTTACTGTAAAAGCCAAAGTTGCTCTTCTGTACATAGGAAGAAACTAAACTGTCATCAGTGGGTAAAAATGAAGGCTAAACAAAGAATTTTCACTTAAAGAACATCTTTATTTGAACTTTAATATACAATATTACCTTTAATTTATAAAAACCACATACTAGAGGACATGACTGGAAATCAGTTCAGGAGCAGCCAGTGGGTACCAATTTAGGAGATTATACTTACCCCACTTATTAGTTTAAGAAAAAATTCTATCAATGAATTTGAGACCAGTGATATTGAAGGATGGCATTTCAACTTCCAAATGCAGTAATTAAAATTGAAGATACTTTATTTAATTCAGCAAAAACTTCTAAATTTTCTTTAAAAAATATTTTTTTCCCAATGAAGAACTGAGCTTATCTTTATTATGTTTTCTGGTATACATCTTACAGTAGAATTTTGTAGAAATCAAATAGCCACAAGATATTTGCAATTGTTTAAAATCCTCTGCATATTAGTATGTATGTGTATGGGTATGTGTGTGTGAGTCCCCACACTTACATTCACACCGAGCTGAAGCAGCCTGATAGCATGTTGGACCTGGAAAGGCAGTTCATTTGTAATGTGGAAGACAGACAGTAAGTCTCTGCTCCCTCTATCATTCTGAATACAGGCTTCCCCTCCTCTAAAATTTCCCAAGATAGTGAAATATTTGACAAACTTCTTAAAGAAAAATCTATTATCTGTTAGCATGATTGGTGCACTGCAATGTATCTGCTAGTAATATGGTGTGTAATTTCACAAGCATTTTATGATTTCTGCAATTGTTAGGCTCAAACCAAGTTTGAAATGGATTAGCTGTTAAATAGTGGAAGTTTAAGGATGAGGTATGCTTTAGTTGAAAATGATGCATATAGACATTCTGAAATAATGCTACTGACTTGTAAAGGAATTGAGGAGAGTTACGCAAGAGAAACAGATTCTCCTTTTGGATACACCTTTTCTCTGCACTCCTCAGACTCAGGCTATTCTAGAGGTAACAGGGGCAGTACCGTTCTGCAGTCTAAAAAAGGAATAGTGGCTGCCAAATAGCAAATGAGTCACATAACCCATTTTCTGTTGCTTAGAATTCTTCAAAAGTTTGCTTTCTGCAGCACAAAGATCAAACATTCTATCATATTCTTGTGGTAGAGCTCTAAGAGTACCCAAGTGGATGAATTTCTACAGCTCCAGCAATCCAGAATCCTGGTCAATGAGGGTCAATGAGCATGAGAACTTGGAGAATATAGTATTTTGACAATACACAGACCTTCATTTTACATAGAGAATCTGAAATTATGGCATTAAATGTCAAGGCAAAGATAATGGCGGATAGCATACCCATCTTCCCTTACCCCCATTCTGCCTCTTTCATTATAGTCAATCGTCCTGAAACCTGAACAGACTCCAGGAAGAGTGTATCTACTTTCAAGATAACAAAATAAATAGCTTTAGGTTATACAGGTACACACAATCATACATACGCACATCATTTTGATTTAAAAATGAATTACATAAATCAAAACAGAGAGAAAAGACGCAGATCAAAGGTTAGAGGGTCTAACACAAAATAAACTTGGGATCAGAGTCACTAACTATGACCCATGGACCAAATCCAGTCCTCCATCTGCTTTTGTAAATAAAGTTTTCCTGGAACATAGCTACGCCCATTCTTTACATGGTATCTATACCTGTTTTCAACAATTCAACAGCAGAAATGAGTAATAAGAGAGACTGTATAGCTCCCATAGCCTAAAATATTATCTGGAAGCTTGCTGACCAGTTATAGATCAAAAAGAGCATGTCCATCATGCTCTGAATGAGCTAAAGTAACAGAAAATCATCTTTATTCGTGTTCTTGAGCCAGAATAAATGGATTAAAATATCTCCGTATCATATATAGTTACTCTAAATTCTGCTTATTAGTGCAGCCAAAACCAGTTTCCAACTGTTAATTAACAAAAAGTATTAAAAATTTATCTGTGTATAATTGTATTTATATACATATATAGATCTTGATCATATATATAATAGAGAGAGAGAGGAAAACATAGGAGCTAGCCAATTTGAGTATAAGGAAACCTAAAGAAAAATAACTCAAAATATTACTACTAGGAACTGTTATTTGGAACTCTGAATATTTTAGTATATTTTTCTTTATATTTAACAGCATGGGACTATTAATAGGGCCCATACGAGAGGAAAGACAATTTACAATTGCAAATTTTACCCATGAATTATGTGACAAAATCTTTTTGAATATAAAATAACCAGCATTTCTATAAAACACTGCTTTTTAATTATGCAATTAAAGTGATATAGCAAAATAAGAATGTTTTTATTTCTAAAGTAAATATTTTAGTCAAAGTTGCATCAGAAATCAAGTATTTCTTTGACATTTTCAAGAGATTTTACTTATTAACTACAATTATAGTTGTCAGTATTATATAATAACACATTGTTTTAAAATATATTATAAACCTTTTCTTTTTCCTCTTTATATGAAATATAAAATTAAGAATTTTGTAACACGATTCATATTGGAAACGTTTAAAATGTTGTGAGCTACTCTCATACAGAAAATGCTGTGGAATCACATAAAACATTCTAATGATTGAAAGTGCCAGGCACAATGCTTGGCACATATTAGATACTTCATAAATGTTCGTTCACGCATTCTCTCATTTACTCATGCACTCATTAAAAAAACTCCAGGCTTAAGGAGAAACTGCATTATAATGAGAAAGGCAAACACAATCTTTTATCAACAAATTTGGAGTTTTGACAAAGACTTTGGCAATGGAGAGCGGAGAAGATGAGAGGATGATGATTAAGATTTCAAACTGCTTGGTTAAAATCTAGCAAGTATAGCCCTGAGTTGCCCTATATGACATCATAGAGGATCAGGGTCAATACTCCATAAAAAGAACGCATTTCCTTTCAATACCCAGGTTTCATTTTACATATAAACATCTGCTTGAAAGTCAGGAATACGTTGATGTTAGAGAGACATAAAATATGCAACCCACAAGAAAGTAAGAACCACCTGACTGGGGACTTATTTTTCGAGTTGAGACTTCTTTTTGGTTAGGGCCCCATTCTCTTGGTTTTAACAACTTAATACTGGTTGAATAATAATAATAATAATACTAATAAATCTGGTTTAACATAAAAAGTGTGATTCTAAAATGAAGAGAAATAAATGTAGAAGGAAGAAGAGTGTTCAAAATTCCTGTTTTTTCTATTATGCACCAACTGATCTATCTATTCTGCACATTTGTGCCAAAGGCACAAGGTAAAGTGTCAGCTCTTTGAAGAGGCACCTGGAAAGGACCATTTCTGGGCTTTTTGCAGAAGGTCTTATAAATGCAATGAATATTTAACCTGAGTATTAAGGTCTAAAAAATGCAAAGAGCTATAAAAGACAGAAGAAAGGAAAGAACATTCTTGGAAGCTAAGCATTATATGGGATAAGAATTGATCCTGAAGGAAATAATTTAAAAATCTATAACAAAAATAAAACATGACACTGGCAAGTCATTTGTAGCTGACTTTAATTGCCTTTGGTATTCAGGAGATTAAAAAAATGGAAGTAATTTCATAAGCTCTAGTTTTTCCATCACACAGAAGGTAGGGAGTGGTAAAGAAGACCCTTCCATTGTCCCTGTCAAATTCTTTGTTTGTACCAGAACTGGCTCTGCTTGCATACTTCCCTGCCTTCTCTTAAGCTTCAGTCATCTGGGTAATACAAATAGAGCACTTGGGAGTAGGGGTTCTGTCTCCTCATTCCTTGAGAAGTTCCTGCGGAACCAAGAAGGTCCCTTTACGCTGCATTCTTCTCAACAAGGTGAAAGAGAATTCAGAGAGTTCAATGCCATCTGCACTGCTGCTCTGGGTCTTGGCCAACTCAGGTTTTTCACTTTTTCTCAGTGATTCATAAGTGGGCTTGTGCTACTTTTATGAGGAAGGCTAATGTTTTTTAGAACCAAATACTTTCCCTTTTCCCTTCTACAGTTACAGTAGTATATATAACTTTCTCATTTAGAAATTTAAATGTTCAAGTAGTAAAAGATATTACAATGTCAAAACATGTGCTATAATTTAACTCTCTTAAGGACTATTGTAACTGGCCCTGCATTCTTTGTTTTCTATGTATACTGAAAACTTTTGCAGTGGTTATCATTTACGGATCATCAGCAGAACTGTCAAAATTAATGATTTGTGGTGTAAGATGATCAACCTTAGAAAATATTATATTAATCAAGTCTTTTCCCAACTTAAAAGCTAAGTTAAAAAGAAAAGCTATCAAACAAGAAAATAAGCCTTCAGAATTCCAAGGTGGGCTTCTTGTACGAACTTTGTTTCATGAAATCTTCAAATTCAGAGTAAATATTATACTAAACTGTTTCTAACTTTTATTAATGTCAGTGGAAGATGTCTACATTAAATGAAAAGAGTAAAAAAGTATCTTGCACTGTCACATAATTTAAGGACAGAAAATTTGTTAAGCACTAGATATTTATCTTATAGTTCCTGATAAAATTTAAGTTCTTTTTGCCGAAATATAAAGAACTAGTAGTTTATTTAAAAAGAAGTATCAATGCAAAACCTACTGATAAGATAAAAGTCCCTTAGACGTGTTCCAATTTTAGTGTAATAACACCACTCTTTTAACACTGAAAATTGTTCTGAAACTATTCTGATTCTTTGGAATTCTATAATATTCTTGGAGAAAATTAAAATACATAAAATATCTGTGAACAACTCACTCATCTGATGAGATTATAAATAAAAGATCCCCTATCCCTATTCCAGATAGAATATTTAAGAAAGTTTCACTGGGTTTGTTTTGCTTTATTAAGTTATAAAAGTAACTTAGCTTATCAAGGCAAATTTAGAGCTGCCTAGTAGTATAGTGAATTTTGCCAAGCCACATAAAAAAAGTTGTAAGTTGAGTGACTCTACTAACTTTATTATGAAATTAAAGTGAATAAAATTTACTTGGTAGATGTGTTGGTCTGGAAAAATAAAGTACCAACAAAACCAAGGATTGCTCTTAGAATAGGTTTCAAGGCAACAAACTGCGGCATCTTCCCACTTTCGGTCACGCTACTAACTGTAGACTGAACTACATGCAAAAAATCCCAAACCCAGGCTCATAAGTGGTGATTATGATAAACAGCAGTTTCGATGATTCCATATGAAGAAAAAGATTTGAGTATTCTTTGTGAGATCATGCCCCCAGAGAAAATTAAACTTAACCAAGAAATTTCAATGAAATAGATTGGGATTTGAAATGGTTGCCAGTCTGGTCATCCAATGGGGAACTTGAAAATTCAGATAGGGTTAGGTACTCCTATTTCTTTTTTGAGTCTTCTTGTTACTGATACAATTATACTATTCTTTCATTCTTGTTTATTTTAGTTCATTCCATTATTAAAATGGAGAAAAAGTGATAAGCAATATGTAAATATTTGATTTGAATGCTGCTCCACGGTAGGAGGAAACAAATATATAATTGGTTCCAAAGGCCATCTTGAACTCCTGCAAGGTGCTCTATATTCTTGGCTTGCTTTCAGGAAGTCTAGCCTCCAGACTTCAGGACTCTAAAAACAATACAGTAGAAACAGGCAACATTTCTCATGTGACCACCTCATTAACGATCAAAGCACATCCAGGTCTCTGTCCTACATATACCAGAACATGTTTTGGTCAGGTATAAAATGGAATAATTTCAAAGTTGACGTATCTACAAGTTGAAAAGTCTTAGGGGGAATAGTTTCACCCTGTCATGTTGACATAGAGGTCCAGGTTTTCAAAAGCCGCCTCTCCAAACTAATTTCTGTAGTGGTCCATGTAAACAAAACACAGGTGAGAATGGTCCTTCTGGAACTGCTTTCATCGGACAGCAGGATTACCTGAAAGTGTGGTGTTGGCTAAATGTAACACAGGCAGAGGGTGAGCCTCTGTATTAAACACCCAGTGGTCTAAAGGTAAAAGGTCATCACCGGAGAACAGCAGATACAAATATCTGAAAATAAAAAGGGGAGAAATGAGCTTCAGTTAGAATTCAACAAGAACATGAAGTGAGCTCACTTATAATGGCAGAGAAAACCAGCAACCTATTTTGAGCGGCTTTGATGAAAAACATCACAGAAATAAACCTCAGTCACCCAAATGATCTAAACACAAAGACAAGAGGTTTCAGAACAGTGAATAAGAAATCCAGTAAGATGAACAACTAGACCTGCTGAAATAAAACAGTTTAAAAAAAATTCCGGTCAGGCGTGGTGAAGAGGGCAGACACCTTTGTCTTGTTCCTAATCTTAAGAGTAACACATTCAATTTTTCAATATGATGTTAGCTGTAAGTTTTTCATATATGCCCTTATCAGGTTAAGAAGTTTCCTTCTATTCCTACTTTGCTGAGAGTTTTTATCAGAAATGGGTGTTGGATTTTGCCAAAGACTTTTTCTGTGTCTACTGAGGTGGTCTTTTTTAGTTCATTGATTGATTTTCAAACGTTAAATCAACCCTCCACACCTGGGATATACACATTTAGTCATAACGTATTATCTATTTAATTTATTGTTTGATTTGTCAAAATCTTGTTTAGTTCTATCTATGTTCAGGAGGAATATTTGTTCTGATGAGGACTCTGCTGTCATTCATTTTTTTTCTATAAGTTATTGGGGTACAGGTGGCATTTGGTTACATGAGTAAGTTCTTTACTGGTGATTTGAGAGATTTTGGTGCACTCATAACCTGAGCAGTACATACTGTCTCATATTTGTAGTCTTTTATCCCTCACCACCCTCCCACTCTTCCCCCAAAGTCCCCAAAGTCCACTGCATCATTCTCATGCCTTTGTGTCTTCATAGCTTAGCTCCCACATATCAGTGAGAACATACGATGTTTGGTTTTTCCATTCCTGATTTACTTCACCTAAAATAATAGTTTCCAATCTCATCCAGGTCACTGCAAATGCTGTTAATTGGTTCCTTTTTATAGCTGAGTAGTATTCCATCATATAAATATACCACAGTTTCTTTATCCATTCATTGATTAATGGGCATTTGGGTTGGTTCCATGATTTTGCAATTGTGAACTGTGTTGCTATAAACATGCGTGTACAAGTATCTTTTATGTATAAAGACTTCTTTTCCTCTGGGTAGATACCCACTATGGGATTGCTGGATCAAATGGTAGTTCTACTTTTAGAAGTTAAAAGATAGTTCTTTAAGGAATCTCCACACTGTTTTCCATAGTGGTTGTGCTAGTTTACATTCCCACCAGTAGTGCAGAAGTGTTCCCTGATCACTGCATCCACGCCCACACATAGTATTTTTTGATTTTTTTGATTATGGCCATTCTTGCAGGTGTAAGGTGGTATCACAATGTGGTTTTGATTTGTATTTCCCTGATCATTAGTGATGTTGAGCATTTTTTCATGTTTGTGGGCCACTTGTACATCTTCTTCTGAGAACTGTATATTCATGTCCTTAGCCCACTTTCTGATGAAATTGTTTCTTACTGATTTGAGTTTGGTGCAGATTCTGGATATTAGTCCTCTGTCAGATGTATAGATTGTTAAGATTTTGTCCCGCTCTGTGGGTTGTCTGTTTACTCTGCTGACTGTTCCTTTTGCCGTGCAAAAGCTCTTTAGTTTAATTAAGTCCCAGCTATTTATATTTGTTTTTGTTGCATTCGCTTTTGGGTTCTTGGTCATGAAATCCCTGCCTAAGTCAATGTCTAGAAGGGTTTTTCCAATGTTATCTTCTAGAATTTTTATCATTTCAGGTGTGAAAGTCCTTAATCCATCTTGAGTTGATTTTTGTATAAGGTGAGAGATGAGGATCCAGTTTCGTTCTTCTACATGTGGCTAGCCAATTATTACAGCACCATTTGTTGAAAAGATGTCTTTTCCCCACTTTATGTTTTTGTTTGCTTTATCAAAGATCAGTTGGCTGTAACTACTTGGCTTTATTTCTGGTCTGTTCTGTTCCATTGGTCTATGTGCCTATTTTTATACCAGTACCATGCTGTTTTGGTGACTACGGCCTGAGGTATAGTCTGAAAGCAGGTAGTGTGATGCCTCCAGATTTGTTATTTTTGCTTAGTCTTGCTTTGGCTATGTGGGCTCTTTTTTGGTTCCATATGAATTTTAGGATGTTTTTTCTAGTTCTGTGAAGAATGATGGTGGTATTTTGATGGGAGTTGCATTGAATTTGTAGATTGCTTTTGGCAGTATGGTCATTTTCACAATATTCATTATACCCATCCATGAGCATGGGATATGTTTCCATCTGTTTGGGTTGTCTATGACTTGTCTCAGCATGTTTTGTAGTTTTCCTTGTAAAAGTCTTTTGCCTCCTTGGTTAGGTATATTCCTAAGTGTTTTATTTTATTTCATTTTTTGCAGCTATTGTAAAGGGGGCTGAGTTCTTGATTTGATTCTCCACTTGGTCACTGTTGTTGTATAGAAGAGCTACTGATTTGTGTACATTAATTTTGTATCTGGAAACTTTGCTGAATTATTTTATCAGTTCTAGGAGCTTTTTCTGCAGGAGTCTTTAGGGTTTTCAAGGTAAATGATCATATCATCAGCAAACAGTGACAGTTTGACTTCCTCTTTATCGATTTATATGCCCTTTCTTTCTCTTGTCTGATTGCTCTGGCTAAGACTTCCAGAAGTATGTTGAAGAGGAGTGGTGAGAGTGGGCACCCTTGTCTTGTTCCAGTTCTCAGAGGGAATGCTTTTCAACTTTTCCCCATTCAGTATTATGTTTGCTGTGGGTTTGTCACAGATGGCTTTTATTACACTGAGGTATGTCCCTTGTATGCCGATTTTGCTGAGAGTTTTAATCATAAAGGGATGCTGGATTTTGCCAAATGCTGAATCTACTGAGATGATCATGTGATTTTTAGTTCTGTTTACGTAGGGTATCACATTTACTGACGTGCATATGTTAAACCATCCCTGCATCCCTTGTATGAAACCCACTTGATCATGACGGATTATCTTTCTGATATGTTGTTGGATTCCGTTAGCTAGTATTTTGTAAAGGATTTTGGCATCTAGGTTCATCAAGAATATCAGTTTGTAGTTTTCTTTTTTGGATATGTCCTTTCCTGGTTTTGCTATTAGGGTGATGCTGGCTTCATAGAATGAATTAGGGAGGGTTACTTCTTCCTCTACAATAGTGTCAAAGGATTGGTACCAATTCTTCTTTGAATGTCTGATATAATTCTGCTGTGAATCCATCTGTTCCTGGACTTTTTTTTGTTGGTAATTTTAAAATTACCATTGCAATCTCGCTGCTTCACTATTGGTCTGTTCAGGGTATCTAATTCTTCCTGATTTAAGCTAGGAGGGTTGTATTTTTCCATGAATTTATCCACCTCTTCTAGGTTTTCTAGTTTATGTGTAAAGGTGTTCATAGCAGCCTTGAATGATGTTTTGTATTTCAGTGGTGTCAGTTGAAATATCTCCTGTTTTGTTTCTTAATGAGATTAACGGAATTCTCTTTCTTTTCTTGGTTAATCTTGCTAACAGTCTATCAATTTTATCTTCTTAAAGAACCAGCTTTTTGTTTCATCTTTTGCATTTTTTTTTGTTTTTGTTTCAATTTCATTTAGTTCTGCTCTGATCTTGGTTATTTCCTTTCTTCTGCTAGGTTTGAGTTTGGTTTGTTCTTGTTTCTCTAGTTCTTTGAGGTGTGATCTTAGAATGTCAGTTAGCGCTCTTTCGGTCTTTCTGATGTAGGCATTTAGGGCTGTGAACTTTCCTCTTAGCACTGCCTTTGCTGTATCCCAGAGGTTTTGATAGGCTGTGTCATTACTGTTTTTAATTTTTTAATTTCCATCTTGATTTCGTTTTTGACTCAATGCTCATTCAGGAGCAGGTTATTTAATTTCTATGTATTTGCATGGTTTTGAAGGTTCCTTTTGGAGTTGCTTTCCAGTTTAATTCCACTGTGGTCTGAGAGAAGGCTTGATATAATTTCAAATTTCTTAAACTTATTAAGGCTCGTTTTATGGCTTATCATATGGTCCATCTTGGAGAAAGTTCCACGTGCTGTTGAATAGAATGTGTATTCTGCAGTTGTTGGATGGAATGTTCTGTATATATCTGTTAAGTCTATTTATTCCAGGGTATAGCTTAAATCCATTGTTTCTTTGTTGACCTTCTGTCTTGTTGATCTGTCTAGTGCTGTCAGTGGAGTATTGAAGTCCCCTGTTATTGTTGTGTTGCTGTCTATCTGATTTCTTAGGTCTATCAGTAATTGTTTTATAAGTTTGGGAGCTCCAGTGTTAGGTGCATATATGTTTAGGACTGTGATATTTTCCTGTTGGACAGGACCTTTTATCATTATATAATGTCCCTCTGTCTCTTTTGACTGCTGTTGTTTTAAAGTTTAAAGTAACCGTCATTCTTTTTAAAAATTTTTTCTTTACTTTTTTTTTTAATCAATTTTACTTTCTTCTGCTAATATTTTTACAGAATGGTTTCACCTCATAAAAGATGTGGGCCATCCAAAACATTTCATCATAAAAGAAAACATATACTACATCCCTTTCTGCTACCATGTTTTTATTAGTGAATATGTACTTATAAAAGGGATTTGAACAGTGATTTTCCAAGAATAATGTGAAAAGTAAAAATAGTTTTATCTTTTCTCCAGTATTCATTGCCAAAGTATATGTGCTGCTAAATAACAAGTTTTCTTTTATTCTTAGATAGTTCATATTGGCACTTTTTGGGTTTTTTTAAATTATGCATTTTCACTGGGTAATCAGATGGGCTTCTTTATAATAGGTTTTTGTCATGTTTTATAGTAAACTCTTGCTTTTTCAGAATTTGAAGTCAATCTTCAGCAGCAAATATTTTTATTTTTATGAAATTCATGAGCTGTCATGATATAAAAATCCTCTGCAAAATTACTTTAAGTCTTTCAATTTCCTATATTGAAGGTTTAAAATTTTGTGGTTTATTCTTGTTGCCATTTTTATATTTGCTCCTTTTCACCTA